GTAATTTCTAACCCCTCTCTTGATGTCATTTTAGAAGAGCCATTCAATTCATGATGGTGTTGTAGTTCGCAGAGTAGATCGATGAAAATCTCGTTCGTCATACGAAACATGTTTGCAAAACGTGTCGGATGGTCTTGTAGTAACTCACCGACCCATTTATCACCAACATATATTGATGTCATACATGGAGTTCGTTCGATGTATGTGAAGTAGTAGTCATATAACAAAGTAAGAGTAAACACTATCTTTCTAACATAGTGCAAATGTTATGGATTCATATTTCATCCTACCAAAAGCAGTTCAAAGATAATAGTTAATACCTTCAAACATTTAAAGACATCTATATGCAACAGTATGCAACAGTACAACCAATACAATCAATACAATAAGTTTTGAGTAAAAACATCCAGTTAAATATAACTAGGAAAACAAATAACAATCCACGTTACAACAATACAAACAGTTTTGAAATAACGAAACAATAAGCTTTCTAAACATTCAGTTCTCAATGAAGGAAAGTAAGAAATCAACTTGATATTATGCCTCCAACTTCACAAAAAATTCTCTACGGACTGGATCTTATAGTAACTTAACACAGTTGAGATAAAATTTTCTATCTTCCTTCACCTCAGCATGTGTATTTAGGATTCGAAGACATCCCTCAACGGATACATCCTATGATGCATAAAGCTTAACAGAGCAGGATTCAACAAGCTTTTCGATTGTGCTTCTGACGAATGCCGCTCCTTTCTTCTTTTTCTCAACCTTACGCCGTTTTGTAATGGATGAGGATTCAACAAGGCTTTCATCAACTGACCTATGGATTTGATAAGGTACTTCTCCTGAGCCACTTATATTATAAGTTCCAAGAACATTAGTTGTGCCAATAAACTCATGTTCAGATGGGGTAAAAGCATGTGCTCTCGTTGCAACAACCCCTTTGAACATACCATCCAGCTTCTCTTCCATTACTGGATCAATACCATTCATTTTGAATTTATTAACTGCTGGCACGACCTGCATGGTGAAGAAAAGTTAATTAGTA